CTAACCTTATTTAAAAATCAATCATTTAAATATGGTTAAGTTTTACAGAGCATAAGCTATCTTTCCTTTTATCTACTCCAATGATAAGTTATTTTTAGTAATGACATTGATATTTTCCTAATAATAGTTCCTATAATTATAAATTGTATCAATTTTGAAGGTAGTTATTTGTCACAGAAGAGTACATTGTTAGTTGAAATAGGTGTTACTGAAGGTCTAAATGTTTCCAATTACAACTTTATTGTGTAGATTTTACAAGATATTTGTATTTACATAGCAAAATAATTTTCCAGATTTTATGTTTAGATCCAAGTCCAATCTGATGGAAATGCTATTAGCAGTGAATATAATGGATTTTACACACAAGCAATTATATGCCTCAACTGACTAATAGAAAGATAAGAATTTTCATTACATAAAATTAAGAGTATGGTTATGAAAACCTATCCTTAATCAAAATTGAAAGTCATTTGTTTTCTTGGGTTCAAAATATAAATTTTTCATGAATCTGACTAACATGAAGTTTAAGAATATAAGGGGTGCCTACCATTAATTTTGCATTGTCAGATTTCTTAAAATGTTTAATCTGTTTCATAGACCTGCATGGATAACATAGTTTAAAATATACAATTACTCCTTAAACAATGTATCAGTCTCAAATGTTTATTTCAGAATAATTATTTTATAACATTAGTGTTGTAACTGTTTTATATCGGGTGTGATAAAAAAATATTTTACAAAATTTATAAAAAATTCTTGGCATTGTTACTCTTATCCAACTCCGAAAAAAAAAAGCATGTATATGCTCTGGAATTTATTTTTTAATCTAAATTATAGGACTAATTTACTCAATTTGCACAAAAGTTGGAATTTGTACAACACTTTCTGTAAGAATCCAGTATTAATAAACCATCGGTAATTTTTTTTTTTATCCAAGATTTGCAAGAAATTTCAACTGTACTTTTATACAACCAAGAATGCCATTCAGTTTCATGTATGTATATTTCTAGTGAGTGTTTTTAATTAATAAAAATGAAAAAATACCTCATAAAAACACCTATCCTTTACAAAAACTCAAGCTGAACACTTTAATATGAACCAGCAACATTGGCAAATACATCTTGAAATAAAAACAATTTTCATACTTACAGAAAAGTTTACATATAATTCAATATAAAAATATTGCTATGAGATACGTACACTATGAGAGGTGATGAACGTCCAAACTTAGGTGGGTAGACAGAATGATTCTTTAACATTTAGTCATTCTAGGAAAAGTTCTGCTGAGGTTTAGAAACTTTATTAAGATTTTTTGTAGTATTAAATAATGTTATTTACATAATTCTATGGTGCAAAGTGGCCATGGACAGAGATAAATACAACCACATGTACAGCTCACAAAAACATTCATAAATGTAAGAAATGTTTCAGTATGTCCAGATGGCCTCACCTGGAAACCATCTGAACCTGACTGAAAATAAATTACAAGAAACATTGACTGTTTAAAGAACCACAACTGACTAAGAGCAACTTGATCTCTCTCTCTTAACACATATGAGCTGTTAAGTAACTTTACTGTACACCAATAACTACTGGATGTAACACAACCATTATGAAGAGTTACCCTACTTACCTTAGCTAACAGTAAGATAAATGCAGCCAGAACTGCTTTCAAAAACAATAAACTCAGAATTCTGAAGCCCATAAAAACATTTTATCATAAAATCAGTGTTCTGGAAACTTTTAGGTAGGAACAAGATAGGAAAACATTCTGGATGTGCTCATGATTAATGATACAGTCATTCTTTTGAGCATAATTAACCCACAAAACTGATACTGTTTTATATAAACAACAGATAAAATTGTAAATGGTCACAGAGATTTACTGCAGATTGGTGTCTTTTGTACTCAGGTTGACACAGCTCTTACTATTAGAAAAAGATCCATAGCTGGCAAGTACTTGAAACATCTCTCTTCGTTGCACTTCAGTGTTGTCAGTGTTCCTTGACAACTAGTAGTTTTAGTTTAGACAAGAATCAGCACCATGTAACCCAGAATCACTGTGACATTTTGTCTAGCATGTCATTTAGTTCATGGAATAAATATTGTGTAATTACTTTTAGAAAGACTATTACATCTTTTCTAATTTTACACCATGAACTTGGTAATCTTTTTCGTGGTTTGAATGACAAACAGTTTTCTCCATCACATTGTCTATTCCTTATTACTGTATCAATCTTTCAAGTATTTCTGGCATGACACTATAAGCATAGGTTCAGGTTGTTTCTTCTAAATCTTTTCTAATATTTTGGGCATAATACTGTCAGAACAGGAATTTGTTTCAAACACTTAAAATTTCTTTTTGCTTGGTAATGCATGAGCTTAATTGTTTTAAAATGTTCTTGACATTGCACTGTGTAGGCAAGGTTATAGTTTTCATCGACTTTCTTCAAATGGTCCTTGCACAAGGAGATGGTCTGATGTAACCCTGTTCAAATCTATTTTTGTCAGGATAAAAATAAGTACTGGTTTCACTTCTTTTTGTCAGGTTCTTTTCCTTCTAACAAGGAAAGGGCATCTTTCACGGTGTGGTAAATAATGTTTTTTATCTGTAAAACAAGTTTAAAAAATACTATATATTAGGCTTCAACAAAACACTACCATAAAATTGTTTATGGCAACTTGTATCACTTACTTTTACTTATCTACAATATAGCATTAATAACAAGACATTGCCCTGATTCATATAATATCATTAATATTACAGGCTACACAAATGTAAAAATATGTCTTACTAGCCTGAGCAATAAATGAATATAAACATTATGTTTTGCACCTAGACCTGTAATACAAGAGATTGTGATATTTGACTGTCACAATCTGTATCATCTTTGGACATACAAATGAACTGCAATATACAATGGCTGAATATCTAAATTTCTAGGAAAAATAATAATATGATGGTAAAATATCCGACACCTAATTTATCAATATTATGATTGATTATTTTGATCTGCTATACAACACCACTACTGGATTACACTTATCCTACAATATAAAGTATCTATTGACTTATATTGATCACACCAAGTGAAATCCAAACACTTGTAAGCTGCTTTAACTTAATTTAATTTTTAAAAGTTACAGCAAAAATTTAATAAAATCTTTGAAATATTAACTCTCTCACTGCAGGCTCGAGCTCAGGGACCAACCTCATAATCATTTTATACTTGTTATAGTTTTCACACTATAACTTTTAATACAGTATGCATATCTTCATCAAATTTTGCAGATTATCAGTAAACTTTACAAGGCTTTCGTACCCAAAATATCAGATTTTTTTTTATATTAAGTATTAAGATTTTTTAAGTGATGATTTGCTTGTGCATTTTTTCTTTTTGAATGTTGGCTATCCAAAATTCAAAGTAATTTTGATTTTAAGATTAAAAATACTTTTATGCATCAGAAAATTGTAAAATTTCACGTGAGAAATCTTTATAACCTCCAGATAATTATCAGTATCTGTATGGGTCTTGTCGATTTGACCGACTTCGAAACCATAACCACCATAAAAAATTAGAAAATAAATTAGTCTAAATAGCTTAAATCTAATAACACCATAGATCTATATATGTTTATTATTTTTATTTTATTAATCTTTCAGCCGTGTCTGACTAACATTACAGAAATTGCAATGAAGCAGTGTACATGCATTCACGTTACCATATCAAATAGTATAAAAATGGCCTATAAAAAGTGGCATGTCTTGGCTTTGTTCTAGTGGATCAGCATTTTGCAAAATTCAGTCATATTTCGGTTACAATACATTATGTATGCATCTGTCTATTGGTCCTGGTTGTCAACTTATTGTCTATGGTAATAGCACCCAAAAGCATTGGAGATATTCCATCTATCAGACAATATCCAAACACCATTGTCAATCTAGTTAGCCATCATGGAAAATCAATCAAATAAGGCTACGATGCTGAGTACTTACACCTACAATGTCTCAGCTTCTACTGCTTTTCACTGTCTATAGCCAGTTGTGGGAAGGCAGTTACCCATAAATTTCTTAAAGTAGAAATGAATTGAAATAAAGCCAACCAAATATCCGTTATGACAGTAAGTTGACAACCAGGACTGTTTATGGTATTTCAATATTTAATTCATTATTGTTTTATAGTGTTGATTTAATCGCCTATAAACAATTAATGTAATCAGTAGTTTGTAAGCTATTTATTTATTTATACATACATATATATATTATTACTATTTACAACTAAGCTTGCCAAGCCTTGTCAAATTTTGCACAAGGATATAAAACAAAATAATTTTTTTAGGTCTTATATATGCATTTTGAAATAAAAAAATAATAATAAATTATAATATAAATACCACAGAATTCCACTATAATTTATCAGGCTTAGCAACTAAGCTGTATTCAGGTCTTAAAAAAATGATATTTCGAGCTCCAAATTCTCCTACCTTTCTGCTTTGATTCTTACCATGAAAAGAAAGGTTTTCCTGTGTAAACACTTTGCAGAGGGTGAGAAAACGATTCTGAGCTTTCAATTGGTTATACATATGTTAAAGGACAATGTAGGTGTACATAAGCAAATATTTCCTAAAATGGAAGAGGTGGGTGGGGCCACCTTGATTGATTCACTAAATATAATAATATCTCAGAAAATAGAAAAGATAGGAGGTTCTTATTTTATATTATAAATTTTCAACATTGGTAATTTGAGTTTCTAATTTGTAAGAAATTATGGACTTTGTATTGTATTTGGGCATCACAAACATCTAATTTGAACCAAAGCTGCATTCAACATACTACATAACACGCAAAAAATCAATACAATATTTTTTTTAATATTTACTTTTAAGTTAAGAAATTAACTAATGTGTAATACTAAAATTTGAGTTATAATCTACAGTTTGATACCAAACTTATTTAAATACATTCATAAAAAAGTAGTTCAATAAAAATGTGAATGTAAGTCTACAAATGTGATGACATGCCCTTTGGCCTCTGGCCATAGGAAGACTCATTGAGATAGGGTTAAATTATACATTTATAGAAATAGTTCTAGTTTACCTGAAGTTTATCCTCATGGTTAGTATGGGTATCTGTCAAATCCCTGAATTCTTGTGTGAGGGTGAAGCAATGGGCAATGTTTTCTGGAGAGACAAAGTCCTCTGCAACCTTGATACAGCTATGCAGGTTCCGAACCTGCCAAAAATATATAACAAATAAAATGTTCAAGTCAGTAAGAAAATGTTTACTTCATGTTTTTAGTTTATTCGTTTTTTAAAGCCTATACAAAATGGTTAAAATGGAAAGTAATAACTGATGAACAGCAAAAAATTATTCAAACAAAGAAGGTTGTAATGTAAGATTAAACAAATATTAAAAAAAAGGATTATAAGTTTTTAATGATATGAATAAAGTCTTAAATCAATGACCCATCAGTGAGATCAAAGATATCATGAATCCAAATTTTAACAAAGATGACCATTTTGCTAGAACTTCTATTCTCTCTTCTTGGCCATTTTGTAAAAAATATTTACTGTTGTAGTTATAAAATCTGATACCTTCCTGTGTTCACAAGCTTACAAAGATATAAATATGCATGCTGTTTCACATTACTATACCTAATCTGTCATTTTAAATTTTATGCATTTCTACCCCTTTCCTTCAAAAAAATTACTAAATAAACTATTAATTACTTGGTTTTTATAGAATTTCTCCTCCAGCAGATTTTTCACAATTATTGGCTGTTTGAGAAGGTCTTGAAAAACAAGTTTGCAAAAGGCAACTTCACTATGAAACCTAAGCCAGCTCTACCACATACTTTTGTTAATGCTCACTTAATGCTAAGAGAAATATAGGAGATATAACTTCAAGCAATTTTTCACTACATCACTTTAATATTCAAAAATTGATAAGTTATGACAAAACAATTTAAGGACATCATATAAGAGACTACTTTTTTTGGTACATTAGTTTGTGTATTATAAAATGTCACTATACAGTCAAGTTTGACATTACAAGTGGCAAGCTGGAAGAACAATGATTTTGTGATTTATATTAGAAAGTTAAACAGCTCCAAAAGTTCTGAGGTATACAGGAAACAATACCTGATGTGGAGCTCCTGCAGGAATAAAAACAGCATCTCCAAGACACTGGACAATTGCATAACCCTCTACACCATACTCTTTGTACAGTCTGTCTCGAAGCTCTTCATTGATATACCAGCTCTGATCGTGGATGGGATCATGGTGTGCTTCAGGCTTTTCTCCACGCTCAAGGGCCACCTATAATCACATTTCAGGAGATAAATAATTATATATTATCCATCCATCTTTGAAATGCATTTTAATCACTAGGTTGGGCTTACATGCTTAACATTTTCAAAAACATCATTAAACATGGAATCAAAGTCTTAAACAAGAAATAAAAATTGTCACCCAGGACAGAAGAAGTTGTTTAAAGTAGAGAATTTGTTTTTGTTTTTTTCAGTTTTAGCTAAAAACAAACAAAAATAAACGTGTGGTGAGATTGCATACTATACTACTGAAAAATCAGAATAACATACTTTATTAAGAAGATCTCGAATCTTATCAGCATCTCTAGCATTATAGATGTGCCATAAGGCTCCTGGCTTCATCCCTTTTTCTCGGACTCGCTTCTGAGTCAATACCTCACATCCACCTTCTTCTATAGCTTTAAATGCCTCTGTTAATAGTAAACAGGTAGTGATATAAAAGAGGTGATTGTAGTGAATTTAGAATTACTCTTAATTTAAAGTTCATTTAAAGAACCAATAATAAATGTTGTATCCTAAGAAAAGAACGTTTTTGCTCATTTTATCATGAATTCACAAACATAAAGACAATACTGAAATTATAACATTAATTATGTTAAACAATTTACCTTATACATCATTAAATAAAAGATAAGATTGTATGGATTAAACTTTGAAATTAACCTTCAATGTAGTCATCATTCTTCCCATCTTTAGGAATTCCCACATAAACCATAACATTTACAGCATCACTGACGTCAAGATGAAGGTTTGTAGTTCCTTTCTTTGAATAAACAGCTGAACCTGAAAAAAAAATCATTTGAGGACAGCGGTTATTAATTATGTGCAGTTTTTTATGTCTGAGGAGAAAGTTTCAACATAATTACCTAACCCCTCGTATTATCTACAATTGCAAAAGAAAAAATCCCATATTTCAAGATATTAACACTATATTAAATGCATACACACAGAGTATGCATTTAGCTGTAATTAAACATTTAAAATGTTTTAAGTCTTTTATAATTATTGACATGAAACACAATATAACAAGCTTTACCTAATAATAGTGAATCTATCTGATGGACAGATATGATGAAATCATTAGTTTCAGATCAGTATGATTTTTGTGTTCATTGGTTCTGATCAATAGATGTCTGCCCATATCACAAATGTGTTAGTCTTCATACGAAAATGCAAAAAATAAAGAAAACAGCATATACAAACACAAGTGCTCACACAAGAAGTAATAAATCAC